AGCGTTTATCAAACAAGTATAAATATTAGGATAAAATACACTAAAATGAAATTTAGTGCACAGAAACAGAATATAATACCCAATTTTTTAGTAAAATATAAAAAACGGGGTCACATTGGGTAAACAGATACCTAACATGTCAAGCCTTACGCTTTAAATGCTTTTACGGCTCATCAGTTTAGTGTTAACAATGATTGATGGGCTTTGAATTATTACTCTTACTCCGACGCTCAAGACGATATGTAACATGTTTGGTGCAATTTTTGTTTTTGCATGTAGGGGCATCCGACGCGTATTTGCGTTGTATGTACGTGCACATGGGGGGCGGGGGACTTTAACTGGTTTTTTTTGCATTTTTCTATATCTGTTACTTTACAAATTTTTTTTAACACTTAACTTTATTTCTATCACATAGGGGTTAACAAGCCCCCTATGTAATAGCAAATAAAATGTGACAGGTCCTCTTTATCGAGACATCAGAGGTCTCTCAGACCCCTGTCACCTAGGGACCCCAAAGAAGCTGATGAAGCAGAGATCTGCTTCACCCCTATCCCCCCCCCCTATTTAGCCTTGGGCATCAGCTGCTGTCCTCTTTAATTTAAAAAGTAGAGATCTACACAGTGTCTCTGCCATTGGTCATGCATCTTATCATCATATGAACATAATTTTCATGCAATATGATCAGATGCATGACCAATGGTAGAGACACTGTGTAGATCTTTACTTTTTAAATTAGAGACCACCCAGAGCCCGGACTGACCACCCAGAGCCCGCACTGACCCCCCAGAGCCTGCACTGACCCCCCAGAGCCCGCACTGACCACCCAAAGCCTGCACTGACCATCCAAAGCCTGCACTGGCCACCCAAAGCCCGCTCTGGCCACTGCACTGACCACCTGGAGCACGAACTGGCAACCTAAGAGCCCCACTGACCACCAGAGAGCCGCAGTGGCCCCCTTAGAGCCTGAACAGCCTTCTTAGAGCCGGCACAGCCCCCCTGAGACCCCGCATAGCCCTCCTGAGACCCTGGAGGCATCAGGCCGTGAACCCGGATACTATGCAACAATGCAGAATACTATGAAGCAGCAGCTTCATAGTATTCTGCATTGCTGTATAAAGTATTGCTGGGCTTTGTAGTCCTCTCTAGCTGATGGTATTATTGTGCAGTGCTTAACAATTTATTGCTGGGATTTGTAGTCATCTATAGCCAGTGCCATTCTGCATTGCTGTATAATGTATTGCTGAGATTTGTAGTCCTCTATAGTTAGTGGTATTCTGCACTGCTGTGTAATGCATTACTGGTATTTGTAGTCCTCTATAGTTTGCAGTATTCTGCATTGCTGTATAATGTATTGCTGAGATTTGTAGTTTCTTTACAACTTGGAGTCAGTGGCAGATCTACAAGGATTACAGCTGCAGCCAGGCCCTGGTTCTCCACCACTGACTCCAAGCTGTAGAGAGACTACAAATCACAGCCCAGAAATGAAATCCTCAGCACCAGGCCCGTGATGCTTTTAATCCGGATCGGGGGCCCAGGCCTAAAGCTGTGTAAGGGGCCCCAACATTTCTGATGGCTGCCCTGGATGTATTAGCATATTTAGATGGACTTGACTAACAAATAAAAGTCGCACTCCAACAAACACTTTTTAAGCAGTTACAGTAATTTTTTGATTGTTTTTCTTTTTGGAATAAAGATTTAATATAAAAGAATAAAAGCTGACCATTGTAAGCACTCCTGTCAGTGTTAAATGGTTAGTCAGCCACTTTTGATGGACAGCTTGGTCTGAGCGTGACAGCCTGATGAGATATGGTTTGAGTTCAGCAAAAAGGTTATTATGCATTTTGTCGTTTAAAAGCAGTTACCATGACCGCCTTACCTTAAGGCAACCAAAGAAAAAAAATATGTATCTATATAAACTGTATGTATACCGCTGCATTAACCGTGCAATATGTCCATGTTATACATTTTGTGCCCTATTTGTATAGGATATTTTTGTTATACTGTTTGCATTATTTTAGACTGTGTTTCAACACTTTTTAAATCATATTTTATTATTTCTAAGACAGGATTCATTCTGAAAACATCCTCAATACATATACTGCACCAGCACATTGGAAGGAATTTTGTGAATTTGTATGCTGTGCAAAGCTTAGAGATAGGTCAGAAACATGAAGAATGTGCAAAAATGGAAAGCGGCCCAAAGTTATTTTCTGTGGGGGCAGAACTATTGCAATATCAGCCTGTAGGATTCAGACCCCAGTAGCAACACAGACTATGTACACAGAAAATATGTCCTAACAGGAAACAAAATCAGCCCCATAGACATAAGGAGCATTAGACAAACATCAAGATACAATAGCTATAACCTTTACTTCAAAGCTATGTCAGATGGTACTGAAAGCATATAATAATGCACAAAGTCCTAGCTAAACCGCAATGCCAAATAGGATCCTAGGCACCACAATGCAACTCATGTATGGAAGAAAAGGAAATGATAATAAAACCAGAACTATTGCCAAGAGCAACCTATCATGGTTTTCTTCTTTTTACAGAAAAGTTAAACAACCTAAGGGACATATGTTTGTGTGCACGTTGGGGTGTCCTTAGGAATTAATGGTAATGCACAGCCCCTTGTATGCTGCATGTATCAGCCCCAATAGTTCATTATTTATAGCACAACAGCAGTACAGAGTAGATGGCAGAATACATGGAAGGGGGTGTGGGGGGTGGAGTGGGGGGTTCTTTGTCTTATGTTGTACTCCAAGAAATTGATTTTACAGGTAAGATTTTCTTGATCATACATAAAAGGACACAGGGAGTTAACTCTTAGACCACTGGGATGTTCAAAAGCAGTCCAACAGAGGGGTAGGCAACACAGGAAAACAACGGCTAACAGGCCCAAGGATTACAGGGCTGTAACATCCTGATAGAACTTGACAAGTGTGTACGGAGGACCAGATGGCAGCCTTCCAGATGTGGGAGACAGAAGCTTGGTGCTGATAAGTCCAAGAAGCTCTAACATTTCTAGTGGAGGGTGCCCTGACCAGAAATGGAGGAACTTTTCCTTTCAGCTCCTAGGCCTCCGAGATTGTCTGAAGAATCTACCTTGCAGTGGTGGAGCAGGAAGCCAGTTGTTCCATATGGAGACCCTCAGGAATAACAAACAGGAATAACAAACAGGGAGTCAGAAATGCGAATAGCAGAAATTGCAGAGAGGTAAACTCTGAGTGGCCAAAACAACATCCAAACAGTGTAGGGGAATTTTTTTGGGGTGTTTTAGAGCAGGACACAGGGATGGTAACACAATGTCCTAGTTAAGGTCGAAGGCTGAGAAAGTAAGCCTTAAGCCTCAGCACAACCTTAGGAGCTTTAAGTCCTTGCCAGGGTGATGTTTGCCCTCTTCAGAGTCAGGGCTCCAGAGGGACCACAGCTCTGGACCTGTAACACACCCTAAGACTAACCACATATGCTGAACCAAGTGCCACGAGGGTTCCGAACATAGTGTCCAGTGCAAAGCATATTACATGCCAGCTCCACATTTTCCAACGGGGTCTGGGTACAGTCCAAGACTCTGGCGATCTGTACAGCTGCTGATGGTGCGGGGGTGGCTTAGAGAAGCATTAGGGAAACTTGATTGAAGAATCTTGAAGCTAAATTCAGTAAAAATTAGTGAAAAAGAGAGTACTTCTTTCAGAAGTAAAAGAAACATCCAACACCTAAAAACATCAGCAAAAAACTGAGGCAGGCTGGAAGTGAAAGGGGTTATGCAGGGCTGTTCCTGCAGTTTTGCATGATTTGCGAGTGTCCAATCACCTGAAGATAGCTGCATAACTAAGGGCTTGTTCACACCAAATGCAGACCAGATCTGCATGAGTTTCTGCACACGCAGTGCAATGTGTTATACAGAGTTTTTGATGCGTTTCCGGGCCGTTTTTGGTAAAAATAAATAAATATATATTAATTTTAAATGGGCTTTCAGTGCGTTCTAGGGCGTTTGCATCCGTTTTTTATGTGTTTGAATGCGTTCCAGAGCAGGTAAAATAGGGCTTGCTGCAGTTTTTTTACATGCTCTGGAACTGAACGTTGCGATGTGAACTAGAGCCCAAAATGTTCATGTCATTTCAAAAGTCATTTTCAATATATTTAAATCTGCAGCATTCATTAAAATAATACCATAGCAGGGTAGTAGGTAAGCAACAATAGGCTTGTAGAGTAATGCTTATAGTTACTGGGGCAACCAGCACAGGAAAAATGCAAAGTGGGAAAGTTGTTATTTCTGGTGCAATTACCGAGGTAGCTGTGAGAAAACCTCGTATTCTTTGTATTGTATGTCATGGTAAGGTACGGCTAACCCCGTTGGGGGTTTAGCCGCAAAAACAGAATAAAAGTTTAAGAAAAAAAAAAAATACCAAGTGATCCTGACACTTCCTGTTATAGGGTGGCAATGCTTCGTCCTGTCTCCCAATTGTACATCCAGGATGATCTGTCTATTATTACACAATACTCTGAAGTTACTGTTTTGACATACCGTACATTAAACAGACATGGTCCACTGTTGTCAGCATCAGAAAACCCACTCTCATAAATGACATTCAGCCATTGATGAAGCGTGTGCATGTAGACTGGAAGTTCCTGCAAAAAGGCTGAAGAAGACCAGCAACACTGAGATGCAACAAAGGATCAAAAAAAGGATTTTATTTTTTTTAAATGGCATGATTGTTTGATAAAGAGCGCGGTAGCAAACTAAATGTTATTCAGTTAGGGTTTACAATTACTTGAAGCTACATAAAAATGAACTTCCAGGAAAATATTCAAATAATAACTTAAAATGTATATGAGCTGAAAAAAACCCACCAGTTTCCCTTATGAGGACTCTTATTCAGCTCAGAGCCTGCCCGAAGGCTTTCCTGGTGATGTGGAAAACCCTTTTAAAATGCCCATAAAAGGGACCTATAAATATATTGCTCTTATTGCTGTGGGGCACTGCCAAGTACCAGTATTACCTAGAGGTGGCTAAAGTGCAAACATTTGGTACCAATGTACAATATAGCATCAGAAAACATAACTCATTTACTGGCATTAAGCAAGAACCCCAGAAATATATTATAAATCAGTCACCAAACCTTGCTTGTCTGCTATTTGTAGAGACTAAGCTCAGGACTGTAGTATAAACACATATAAGAATCACAAAGTAGCCTGTGAGCATATGCTGGCATGCCCTTTGGGTCTTCCTGCTGGAGCTCTTCGGGGCTCATTTCCAGGTACTCTGTCACCTCTGGGCACGGAATCACTTTGGGAATGTTGAATCCATTCTGTCCTCCTGTTGAAGCACAAACCATAGGCAAACTGTTAAAGGGTAAGAGAACCCTTTAAATGTGTAGAATACAATATATTTTTTCAATGTACTACCAGATATAGCCATAAAGCAATGTATTGTGTGTGCTCGTGTGTATTATGGGTGTATAAGTCTGAGAGTCACAGATACTGTATATTGTAAATGTGTTATATATTTCTACATAACAGGTGTAAGCACTGCATTCTATGTGTGAGTGTGTAAGCCTGAGATTTACAGAAACTATTTAAAGCTGTATATTTTATATATATATATAATGACACTGTTATATCTTTTGTGAACGAATGATCTTTTCGGTAGTTCACGCTGAAACTCTTTGTGATAACCCAATAAGCACTGCCTCACTGCGAATGACGGCTGATGGGACATCTGCCTGCCCTCTGGCCACCAGGACCAAACTCTGTTGAAGTTTCTAGCTTGGCTGAAGCAGAGAATGTTTAGCTTACATCGTCCTTCCCTTTAATACACCAAAGATGAATTTCCAACATTCATTCTTTTCAAAAGTTTGATAATCCTTTGGAAAGCCTTATTATTGTTTTATATTGTTGTTAATTGTTATGACCTTGTTATTGTGCAATCATAAGCAATCCTGAATCTATGGAACAGACAGTATATGGTCACCCTGCCCCTTTCACCATCTTATTAACACATAGTAATGTTGTATCATGCTCTGCTGACCCAGATTGCAGTAAAGGCTGTGGACAGCCCGATTTCTTTTTTTTCTCATCTTTATAGGTTGAACTCGATGGACTTGTGTCTTTTTAAAAACTGACTAACTATGTAATTATGACAGCACAGGGCTGTCATGTTTTCTCGGTATGGCGCAGTGACCTTTGTTTGCAGTGAGAACTGAGCACATGTATGGGCATGCACCGAGCCTAGAATGAAATGTCTGTGCTAAACAAAAAATAGTTAAGCCAGAAATTTGAGAGAAGTGAAAAGGGGAAAGAAGTAGTGATCCAGTATATGCCTGAATCTGGCAGGTATAGCCAGCAGGCTACAAAAGTGTGGATTAGTGAGTGTGTAAGGCAGGTCTCATGAATAATATTGGGAAAAAAAAAACTTCTGCACTATTGATTTACTATCAGTAGCGTGCAGCTGCTAACACTTAGAATATGATATCACAAACAAAACCAAAGTAAGAAAGCTTATAGTGTAGCACTATCACCAATGACAACAGCAGTTTCTACTAAACAAACAACAACCTATTATGAACTAGCATAATAGTGCTATACTATCTATTTGAACGTCCATGTGTTATGACATGGACTTTGGAATAGATTGTATAGCACTCGTATTATAGTTCATGATAATAGGTTGTTGTTTGTTTGTTTTAGTGTTTAGTAGAAGATAGCAGGTTGAACCTGTAGAGGCAACTTACTTTTCTGAGAATGTAGAGGATTAAAGAAAAGAATGCTTTCCTTCCCCTCCCTTACAGCTACACATAAGTATGGACTCATCTACTTTATGAAGTCACAGTTCTTTATCTCCAAGGAACCTCACCAGTCTGCTTTTATTATTTAAAGAAGACCTCCAGGAAAAAAAAATGTATAAACCCTTGCAGTGTTTGCACTGCAAAGGTTAACTGCTTGTTTATGTCTAGGTTAAAAAAAAAGTTATACTCACCTGAACCGTGGAGCCGCCTTTTTCTTAGACTGGTCCTTCCAGCCTCTCGTCCCCTCCTCCTTTTGAATTAGTAACAACAGATAGGTCTCTTTTGTAAGTGTGTATGTACACTATATTGCCAAAAGTATTGGGGCGCCTGCCTTTACATACACATGAACTTTAATGGCATCCCAGTCTTAGTCCGTAGGGTTCAATATTTAGTTGGCCCACCCTTTGCTGCTATAACAGCTTCAACTCTTCTGGGAAGGCGTCCACAAGGTTTAGGAGTGTGTCTATGGGAATGTTTGACTGTTCTTCCAGAAGCACATTTGTGAGGTCAGGTACTGATGTTGGACGAGAAGGCCTGGCTCGCAGTCTCTGCTCTAATTCATCCCAAAGGTGTTCTATCGGGTTGAGGTTAGGACTATGTGCAGGCCAGTCAAGTTTCTCCACCCCAAACTCGCTCATCCATGTCTTTATGGACCTTGCTTTGTGCAGTCATGTTGGGACAGGAAGGGGCATTCCCCAAATTGTTTCCTGAAAGTTGGGAGCTTGAAATTGTCCAAAATGTCTTGGCATGCTGATGCCTTAAGAGTTCCCTTCACTGAAACTAATGGGCCAAGCCCAACCCCTGAAAAACAACCCCACACCATAATCCCCCCTCCACCAAACTTTACACTTGGCACAATGTAGTCAGGCAAGTACCGTTCTCCTGGCAATCGCCAAACCCAGACACGTCCATCCGATTGCCAGACAGAGAAGCGTGATTCGTCACTCCAGAGAACACGTCTCCACTTCTCTAGAGTCCAGTGGCTGCGTGCTTTACACCACTGCATCCAACGCTTTGCATTGCACTTGGTGATGTAAGGCCTGGATGCAGCTGCTCGGCCATGGAAACCCCTTCCATTAAGTTCGCTACGCACTGTTGTTGTGCCAATCTGAAGGCCACACGAAGATTGGAGGTCTGTAGCTATTGACTCTGCAGACAGTTGGTGACTTCTGCGCACTGTGCTCTTCAGCATGTACTGACCCTGCTGTCATTTTATGTGGCCTACCACTTCATGGCTGAGTTGCTGTTGTTCCCAGTTGCTTCCACTTTGTTATAATACCACTAACAGGTGACCGTGGAATATTTAGTAGCAATAAATTTCACGGAACACCTGAATCCAATGATTTGGAGGGGTGTCCCAATACTTTTGGCAATATAGTGTATATACAGAAGCACAAAACCACCAATTATGGGTGAAACCAATTGTGCAATGCAGGGCTGGAGGAATCCTGGTTACATATAGATAACCTCAACTTGCATTGTTGCTCTTATTGCACATACCGTATTATGCAAGTAATATGATCATGTTTGATAGTATGTGACATTTACTTTGCTTGCATTGACTCACCTTGTTTCTTAAACTAAAATAAATAAAATAAATACAGAGACTGAAAGCACAAATTATGTACAGATATAACTCACCTTCTCTGTCAGCCATGCTGTCAAAGAAAGCCCACAGAGGTCGATTCTGGGAGTTTAGTCTAATGAAGGCGACATAATGACTAGTTTCTATACATAAAACAGCAAAGAGCTGCAAATACTGTCTCTGGAACACAGCCTGTCCATTTAGATTTTCAGGCACACACATTTCCCTGGGACGGTGGCTGCCACGCTTTTTGTGAAGATGAACCTATACAGAAGAAAGCGTCGTGTTAGAGCACCATAAAGTCTACAGGACAAATAAAGTACGCTTCTTGAATACAAGTCTCTGAAAAAAAGAACTTTGTTGCACAAAACAACCAATCAGGTTCAAAATGTCCTATTTCTGGGTATTGAAAAGAAATTCTAAAGTGGTTTCTATGAGTTCCAGGCAACTATTCTTTCAGACACTTCTTGAAATGAAAACCTTTCATGTGAGGAGAGTCATCATACCTGCTTACTGCAGATTGCACAGTATTGCTTTATGTGACCTGGTGTGATCCCTGTATCCTCATAACAGTCGAGACACTCCACTACTGCCAGAGACTGACAAATACAGCACTGCCTTGGGGCTGGAGGGAAGAAGGAAACTGATATTAAAGTTCTACATGTAACAATGTTATTTTGAGCTGGAGAATTATGCATACCGTGCCATGGCAGTTTATTACCAGAATACCAAGACGATACAAACAAGGCTGTTCAACAACATGAGGATTTTGCAACTCAGCAACCTCATTGCCAACAGCAGGATATGATATAAGGATTTCTTAAAGCTGAACTCCAAGCAAATATAAAATATACAAATTAATGCAGCTCTGTGTTTATTCTTTTATTTTTGTAATTCATGCAGTGTACTATAAGTACCCGAGGCATTTATAAAAGACAAATATTAATGCAGCCCTGTGTTTATTATTACTACATTTTAATTTTTTTTATTCCAGCAGTGTAAAGACTTGAGGCAACAACCTCTTGCAAATTGTACAGCAGAGCTTAGCCTGGGACAGAGAGAAGCAGCATTTTGTACTGCAGTGCGTATGTGCTAACAAGGAGGCGAGAGTAGAGTGATAGGGAGATGAGATCATCCTCTGCTGCTTCTCCTTTCACTGCCCAGTCACAGGCTGGAGGAGGGGACAAGACGTGTAAGTGTAAACTGCAGCAGAGAAAAATCAGGTCTCCTGTCCTACCAGTGGCAGAGCTGTGTAAATCCCAGAACTGGATAAGACAGAAATACAAATCCTTTAAAAGATAAAACAGCTCATTACATGTAAGTCATCTGTGTTAGTTATTTACCTGGAGTCCAGCTTTTTTTTTTTTTAAAGAAGGTGTTTATTTTTCATTTTGTATTATATAATAAAAAAAAACAACCTGTTATACAATAAGGCCTCATTCACACTGTTACTCCTGCATTTAGCTTTTCTAAGATATCTGGGAAGTATAAACAACTTTTATGTTTCTTGGGTAGCTTTTCTCTGCATATAGATGTTCCTGCTTAAGGACCTGTTCACACAATGGTCAGACCAGAACAGTTTGATCCCGGACCAAAACAGCATCCCAATGTATCCCTATGATATATTTCTGGGCTCTGTTCATACCAGCGCAGTCTGTTCCGTTTAAGACAAAACAAAATACTGCTCGTCTCATTCTCTCTGGTCTGTAACGCACTGTAAAGTATGTAAACGCATCAAAGACACATGCAAATGCACTGGACCGCACCTGAAAGTCCATTTTAAACTAGAAAAAAACCTAGCAAAAATGCAGTGCAGTGCACTATGTTTGCAGATCTGCTCCAGATCTGGTCCGGACATGGTGTGAACATAGCCTGTTTAGATGCGTTTAGCTGAATTTAGGGCCCTGTCACACCATATCCAGCGCCTAACAGTTGGTGGATGTTCACTGACTCACACAATTACACACACACAAGGTCAGTGGCTACAGTCATTTTTCTTGCCGTCTTCTTCTCGAAGGTCTCCTAGGCAAGGAAGTGGAGCCAACGAGTCACACTAAATTTTGCATCCAGATCGGTTCAGCCATGAACCCCAGATTTTCAAGAACATAGCAGGACATGCTCTGCCTTTGTGACCATGTTCCAACATGATGGCATGAAAAAAGGTGATCAAACATAATGGCTGAGCTCTAACAACATCTTGGGAAGTATGAGTGATGTAAAATGCTCATTTTGTGGAGGTATATAGTATAAGCAATGGATACAACTAAATGTAATCAACCTAACAGCTCTGCTGATGACACCACTGAGCCAACAGCTGTTGATTTGATCCAAGGAGTTCAGCTTTAAAAGAGAACTATATGGTAACCTTTTTATCCCATAGTTCTCTTTAGGGTCACAGGAGGACATATACTAACCTCCTCCCGTGACACAAAGATCAGTATACAGTATAGCTCGCTATATACTGAGAGCGCCACAGCCGGGACGGATCCTGACAATACTGTCGAGATCCACCTAGCTGGCTGATTGACAGTGGGCTCTGCCTATCTAGAGGCAGAGATAACGGTCACCGCTCTCAGTGGGGAGATGATCGGGAAGTGGCCGAGTGGCGGTATGTGTTCGCTCACTTCCCGATCAATAGAACCGACTTGTTACAGTTTCAATGTCACAGGTTGGCTCTAAATAGGAGGATGAGTGAAAATCACTCACCTCATAGTTCTCCTTTGTTAATATAAATATGCACGCAAATTGCAGCATACAAAACTTTTTTCAATACGTTCTATTGCAATGTTTTGTGGTGTGCACATCTTCTTTTGAAAACGTCCGATTTTCTCCTTTCCATGCATTTTTCTACATTTGAAAAACAAGATGCATGACAATGCATGTAATGTAAACCAGTCCTTCGACAATCCTATTATGTTCTTATTCATTTTTCCAGAAGTTATATGATGATTATGTAATTATATCGGCCTCTGCCACATAAATCCATTTAAACCCCAAATTTATTTTATATAGCTTTGTGTACTTCTTAGTTAAAAAACAAAATGTAGTTTAAAGAGAGAAAAAAAAAAAAAAAACTTACTGAACAGAAGAAAATGGGAAAAAATATGATTATAAATATACATACAAAAAATACATGTAAAAAAAAACAAAAGAAGAGAAAAAAGTTGCACAGCAAAACGTTAACAAAGAAGCTGAACACCACTGCAAATCTGTGCATTAAGTGGAGGGGGTGACTGCTCTAACTTTAGTATCCTGCTTCTCTTTATTTGATTCGTTCCAAGCTATGAAGCAAAAGGACAAACTGATTAGTATAGGTAACAACTCCAGTTTTGCTCCAGGTTTTGAACATTGCCCCCTCTCTGTTTCAGTTTTTCAGTTAATATTTTTAATTACCATCTTCAAGGAGATCAGTGATGTCCAGTTGGAGAGTAGGAATAATTTTTGGGAATATCTTGTTCTTCCCATCTCTGGGCATCTGAATGATTAGGCACGATGGAACCTGACATAGGACAAAGTAAAAATGACTTACTTACACAAACGTAGGGAGGAAGTACTAACACAATGCAGATAGTGTCCAGGTGGAAACAGAACCCAAAACCACAATGCTGCAAGGCAGTAGTGCAACAACAAAGCCACCAAGTTATGTTTTTTTGCTGTTGAAGTACACTCATTCAGCAATTTATTAGGAAAACTACACTAATACTGGATTGGGCCTCCCTTAGTTCTTAAAACAGTCTTAAATAATTTGTGGAATGGATTTCTTTTGAGATTCTGGTCCATGTTGGCATCATTGCATCATGCAATTTCTGCCGATTTGTCAGTTCTACATTTGTGCTGAGAATTGCCCACTCTACCATATCCCAAAGGTGTTCTATTGGATTCAGATCCATTGACGGTTTTGTCATCTGTGTTGCTCATCAGAAATCGAGATTCATCAGACTAGTATAGTTTTTCCAGCCTTCAACTGTCCAGTTTTGGTAAGCCTGCCCCTTCTGCAGCCTCAGCTTTCTGGTCTTGGCTGACAGGAGTAGACCCTATGTGGTCTTCTGCTGTTGCAGCCCACTTGCCACAAGCCACTGTATAACATATTGTACATTCTGACATGGTTTACATGGAGTTACTGTCAGCTTAAACGAGTCTGGCTAATCTTCTCTGACCCCTCTCATCAACAAGGCATTTCCTTCTGCAAAACTGCTGGTCACTCAATATTTTTTGCACAAGTCTGAGTAAACTCTACAGACTGTTGGGAGCAAAATTTCAGCAGATCTACACATACAGAAATACACAAACCAGCTTGTCTGCCACCAATTATTGTATCATGGTCGAAATTGTTAAGATCTCATTTTTTCCCCATTCTGTTTTTGATGTGATCATTACCTGAAGCGCCTAACCTGTATCTGCATTATTTTTTGCACTGTGCTGCTGTCAAATGATTGTCTGATTTGTGTAAATTGTGAATTGTGTAAATAAGCAGGAGTGCAAGTGTCCCTAATGAATAGATCTATAAAAGTGTATATAAATTGCATGCATGGCTTTTTTTAGGCTGTTTTACCTCAGTAAACTTGAGATCGCCATTAACCATGGACCATTCTAGCAACTGCTGCACTGATGGTACATCCACTGATTGTCTCTTCTCCATGAAAATCTGATAGAATATACAACCCTGTGGGTCCTTCTTGGTTGTCCTAAACGGATAAATGGCAGGTACTTAATGAGGCAATACTAAACCGCATCATGAGAATCTCAGAAAAAGAATGAAAAAGGTTATAGAAGAGTGAAATTATTATACAATACAAAAATACTTTATTATATATTCATTAAAGTTGAACTCTGTGGAGAATTTAAAATTACCAATGGGGCTCCCCCTGCACTGCAAGAGTTAAATGCTCATTTTTGTTAGGATACCTATAAATGGAGTTTTACTTCCCTTATCCCACAGGCTTCATCCTTTCAGTGCAACCAGTCCTCTAAAACCACACCATTGGTCACGTACTCTTCTGCACTGACTTTGAGCAACAGTGCAGGACAGGATGTTGATTGTTAGTTCATTTGGATGTAACTGTCACCGGCACTGCCAAAATATTTATGCTACCCTGTCCTGGGACACAGTGTTGACTGGCTGCTAAGTGTGCTGGAAATGTGTCCTTGCTTTAAAAAGTTGGTTATTGATTGCTGGGACATACTGGAGGTTTTCAGCTGCCTGTGTGCTGTGTTGGGCTTCTGGTATGTCTCTGGAGCTTAAACCTCCAGGCATGCCTGCCTTTAATCTGTTTATTGCTGTGTACTCTGTGTCCCAGGTTGGGAGTTTTGTTAGATTAGAGCTAGGGAGCGCACTATACAGAGGGGCCTTGACAGGGCATTGTGGCTTCCATATATATTTGCTGCAAATATGTACTACTGACACCTCTCCTTTAATACATAGAGGGGAATTTATCAAAATTGGAGCTGGCAGAATCTGGAGAAGTTGCCCATAGAAACCAATCTGCTTTACTCTTCAGTTTGTTCAATTAAGTTTTGAAAATGAAACATAGAAGCCGATTGGTTGTTATGCCCTGCTCCAGATTCTGCCTGCTTCAGTTCTGATGAATTCCCCTCATAGCGTTAAAGGGGTGCTGGCTATTTCCTCTTTAATTTAGATTTTTTACCTTGGGCTCACACTGACATCGATTAAATGATGCCTCTTAATCCGATCATCTTCTTTCCAGTAGTCCCTCCAGAGCGGGTGCCGCTCTCTGATCCAGCGCTGACTGCTGTGTCTTCTGTGTCCCACGGAGTCTGTGCGCATGCATGCTGCTGGGCTGCCTGCATTGACTTACACTGAGTGTCTCCTCTTTTTCCCAGCAGAAGATCTCTACTGCTTATGCGCCCGCCCCGTGATCCTTCACGGCTGCTCAAGATTCTCCAGAACTTCGAAAGGATGCGAGCGGCGGAGACACAGGTAAGTTTTAACCTATTTGGTAACTTTTTATTTTTATTAATGATTTTGCATTTATCTACTGCTTGCTAGCAGTAAATATATGCAAAAAAAACCCAAAGGTTTAATTATACTTTAAATGATAGCAATATAAACCTGACAGATATTTAAGCTATGTCAATATAGTTTGTTTTTTTATCTGTATTTCTCTTAATCAATCCATCAATAGATGACCAATTTCAGATTTGTATTCTATCCCCCTTTTTAAGGTATACTTGTATAATTGTTGCATACATATCCCTTTTGTATCCTTTTTTATTTTCCAGAACAATAGAATAAAACTAACTTCTATAGGTTATTGCACTTTTTTCCCATTTAAAAAACAAAACAAAAAACTAAGGGTAGCTTTTCTAAGGGTAGCTTTTTTCAAGAATCACTTACCTAATATAAAAGAGAGGTTCTACCCTGAGAACTTGGAACAACTGATTTAGAAACTCCTCTGGATCTGTAGATAAGGAAAAGCAGAAGGTGAGGCATGCATATCAGGTCATGTTATTAGAGCTAGGATTATTGATGTACACAAGGAAAAATAAATAACAGTGCCACGCTGAACTCTACAGATTGATATTGATCAAATCTATGAACAACCTATGTAATTATATAAGTGAAGAACCTATACAAAATCGTGAATGAATGCACAGTATTCAATTCTAAGACGCACACTGTAGTGAATACAATCTTCCTTAAACGGAACCAAGTGAACAAAATAATCCGTATGTATGCACAGTGTCCAGTCATTCTCTCTTACACATCTCTGTCGATGATGGTGATATTACTCTTTGAAATCAAACAGGAGGTTTCCACCACTCTTCAAACAACTTGTTGCCTACATACTTCTTAAGACCTTTAAGCTGCCCATACACCTTGCGATCATCGAATTACACTTTTCGTCCGATCATCGAACCGGCGTACGATTTTCCCCATCCTGCCCCGATTATCGCAAGGTTGGATCAGCGGTAATTAAAAGAAAGCATCTGGACTCATTACGGTAATTGACCGCACTTAATTTCATGTGCACTGTAAATCATACAAATTTTGACGTACGGAAACGCCACCAACCTTGCAAAAATCGTACAATCGACCGAAGTTTTCTAACCTGCTGGTTTGTCAAAAGTCGATCGATTGTACAGTATTTGCGGTTGTAGACTGCCCATCAACCTTACGAATATCGGACGAAAACGCGATCGCATACAAAAATCGGACGATATTCGTAAGGTGTATGGGCACCTTTACAAGTAAGGTCTAATCTCAAGGTGAGCGGCCACCTGGAGACATTTTTGCAAGTGGAGTGTGTTGTTTTAATGGAGTGAAGGAAACTCCCTTTTTTGATCTCACAGAAGTATGTAGGCAACAGGTTGTGGAAGAGTGGTGGTAACCTCTCATTTGATTTCACAGAGTAATCTCACCATCATCAACACAAATGTGTAAGAGTGACTGGACACTGTGCATTCATACAGATTGTTTTGTTCACTTGGTTCCATTTAAGGAAGATTGTATTCACTACAGTGTGCGTCTTAGAAAAGAATACTGTGCATTAATTCACGTTTTTTTGTATAGGTTCTTCACATATATATTTACATAGGTTGTTCATAGATTTATTCAAAATCAACCTGTTATTTGTATTTTCTTGTGTACCCCTGCCACATACTTTGGTACCATATGCATTTTTTCTTGCTGCTGCCTTTTTACTCCTCCTGCCACACATCCACTTGTGATTTGCTTGTAATAAGAAAGACAAAGCATCTTAAAAAGGATAGAAATACTGGGATACTTACTGAATGACCAAATTCAGTGCAAACATATTATTCTTAATCATTTTTATGTGCAGTAACTCATAACAACCAATAGGAATTCACTCTTTTGATGTCAGACCAATATACAAGGGATTCTGATTGGTTGGGTCACTGCACTTACAGATTAGAACTCAGTATTGATATATGAATATGATGGATATTGTGTTTGGTTAGGAGAATAACATGTGTAAATCAGACATAGAAGAACTTTACATTTCATGCTAAACATTGAGCAGATGCCAGGGGCAAACAGCTTTTGTATGAATTTACATTATTATAAGATTAGTCACCTTTTTCTTCATTGGTGAAGCCTGTGCTCTTCCCTGCAGCTTCCAAAATCTTCCTCAAGGCCATTATTTTAGTGGCACATACATACCCATTCCTAAAGGAACATACAACATTACAGAAGGAATATGTGGCGATAAATGAATACACTTTTTATACATCATAGGCTAACATTTTAAGTTATATCACTTTTTCTGTTACTTTTCAAAGCCAAGAAGGAAAAATACATCTAGTAATACATGACATGATATCCAAGAGATTAAGAGTCATGCAAAGAACATTTATAAAAGCTACCAGTAAAATAAAATGTGACAATTGCAGGTTCAGTAGTAATATAAGCAGTAAATATTACCTGTCAGTAGGTACATCCATATGAGTCAAAGTGAGTGAACAAATACTTTGCAACTGAACAAGTGAAAATTAAATGACAACTTTAAGCAGAGATTGTATGAAGATAAGTGTCTACTGTGGCCTTGAGAGGGGAGGGGAGCGTGAGATAGAGAAAAAAAAGAGAGGAAAAAAAGAAGGAAAACAGTCAGTGCTAAAAGTGAGAAAGCAGCAGACAGTGAGGCATATGCGGAGAAGAACTGGGCAGTCCAGATATTTGTTTATATTTTAACATTACACTTTATCATTACTACACTTGGATGCTTCTTTGATTAGCATTTCTCAACCGTTTTTAGTCACGGCACCCTTAAAAAAGTATGAAAATGTTCAAGGTACCCCAGTCTAAAATGAAAAAAATGTAAAGCACATGACACAGACCCTTATCCCAGATATGGGTCTGGTATAGATTTTAAGGTGGGACCCCATGCAAAAAACACACAAAATAATGTGGTTCCTCTCTTCAAATCAGAAGCCCCACTTCATATCAGAGCTCCCCCCCACCTCAATCAGAGCAGGAAAAAACAAAAAAGGAAGTCTAAAGCGCTACTACCCTTGCAGGCAGGGGGTATTCAGGCCTGGGGGAAAGAGTCTCCCTCTCACACTAGGAGCCTCCCTTCACTATACAAGCCCATCTTTACATCAGAAGCCCCTTTTCCACATCAGAAACCCCTCTCTTCACATTGGGTGCCTTCTTCACATCAGAACCACCCTTTCCTATCGGAGTCACCCACTTTCACATCAGTAGTCCCTTCTCATTAGAAGCCTGCCTGCTTCTGATGAGAAGATCTTGCCACTAGAGTTCCCAAGGGGTATCAAAACACACTGGGTGTTTTTTCTTTTCCTAAATCATATAGAAAAGAATCCTCAGCATCACACTGTCTTCATAAGAAAGGATAATCCTTAATCCATACTCAGAAAAAGAATACCACCAACTAATGTTTCTCAAGGTAAAGCCTTGTTCCCGGCAAGGTCGAGAAACCTTGGTTGGTGATATTCTTTTTCTGATGAAGGAATAAAGATTGTCCTTCTTTATACAGATGGTGTGCTGGCGATTCTTATCTATGTGGATTCTACAGAAGGTGTCATCCCCTAGCTCACTTCAGCACTCTGGAATAACACAAAGGCAGTTATCCAGTGAGATGTGCAACTGATATACAGAGTTTCTGCCTCAAATCAATCACAATATATCTTATTACATTCTGCAACATATTTAAATGAAAATGACCTACTAAACTAAAATCACTGCCTGAGCTCAATGTGGGTATTATGGAGATACTCTGTACCCTGTTGTAGAAATAAGCATAAAAAAATGTTACCCTATGTGAGGGCTTTTTTATTTGTATGTGCTGGCAAAGTACTGCCAAAATCCACCTCCATGCTAAACTAATGAAAAAAAAAGCACTTGTGTGATATCACTCTGCTGCACTATTGAGCGTATACCGTACCCACCATGCACTTAGTAGATAAAACTACAAATATGCAGTCTGGCTGTTCTTGTCCAGGTTCCTTAGAACAGCAACATTCCATTTGTTACGAAATAATAAAGATTGCTTTAATGTTATTTTAAAGCATATGTTAAGGCAAAATACAAATAAAAGAAAAAACATTTCAGATTTACATGCACATTTCACCATGTTTACCCCTTTGAAGAACATGCAAGCACAGAAAAATAACTGTTAATCTGCCAGAAATGCATTCCGCTCCTAAGCCCTGTTGTGGGCTGACAACACGCAGTATTTTGTGGACTGGGTGGCGTCAGCCCATGCCCAGTGTCTTCTGCTAAACTATTAAATCACTCCAACTCTCAGATCTCTACAACATAAAGACTAATTATCCTGTAGTCTAAGATAACAACCAGAATAGATTAACAGACTCTGTGAGATAACACACAAAGTGTGCAGAGGATACAGGACAACTCTAAATGTCTGACAAGATCAACAGGTTTTTCTTGGAGCAGAATACAAGTTCATCATTAGGGTTTACACGCACTTTAATCGCTTATTTATGTTCACTCACTTTCGCAGAGGGTTGACTATCTCAGTGCGGAGCAAGTCTCGGGTATCAATATATGAATCGCTATCATTCTTATCTGGAGGACGCAGCAGCATGGTATCCAGTACCGAGGAGCATGCAAACATACTGGGAAAGAAGAAAAAGTATTAACACTACATAAAAAAATGCAGCACACTAACTTTACATCTCAACCAAACTTGTTACAATGAATATGTATTACAGTTGTAGTCTTTTTAAATGCCTTTTTATATGTGCATACTTTCCCCAGCTTTAGACGCACCGGAAGTTGTCATTGTGACGATAATGGGGGCCTGAGTCTGAATATTAAAAAATAGAATTCTTTTGGCTCCCAGTCAGAGCAAATGCAGGCCTTCATTTAGTCAGTTGCCAGGCCTTCCACATTCCACAGAGCAGAGATCTGCTATCTGGTCTGTGATCTTTTGTTGCCCCCTAGCAGAAGTAAGTCCCAAATCACCTCTAAGCCTTTTATAGCTGTCCCTAATTAAAGGCATGGCACCAAGCACTCATATATTACCAGTGGACAAGTTAATATAAACAAGCAGGTCTGGTAGAGGTGGCGACCCCGCATTCACCCGAAAGGGGCTTATCAAATATTCCGTCTAGGCGACTAGAGTTGGCTCTCGGTTTTAAAACATCATCGAGGAACTAAGAAGACTTAAAAGACTTAGAAGAGTTCCCCTTTAATCTCTGGACATTATCGGCTGAAAGCCTGCTTAAAGAAGAGCCCTGCAGACTTCCCCTTTGCTTATACAACTCTGAACTCTGTCAGAACTCCTAAAATCAGGACTGTTGAGTATTCTCCTTTTATTTTGCTGTTGTATATATATTTTGTCTCTTTTTTTGAACATCTTTTTCTGTACCGTTTCTTTTATAAAAGGACGATCTTAAAAATCGTTAAGCTTATCTCTACGCTCTAAATATGAACTTAAAGTATCCTTGCCTCTGTGAAGAGCACTACTGTATAGTGAATACTGTCATATTCCTGTCTGGGAGGACAGCGGTATCATAGGCTTTGTTTAAGTGTTTAAATTGTCACAGCACTTGCTGGGCAGGTCTGTGTTTCCGTTACAAAACGCACATGGTGGCAGTGAACGTTTGTGGGTAAAGGGTTAACTGCGGCGTTAACCAACCCTGGTGACGATCGCTCTCAGTCTGCTGGCTTGAGATTGTGCCCCACGAGCTGGGGAATCTCTGTGCAGGGTGAGGCTGAGAGTGGTATCGTCACGTCCTTGTGACACTCACGCTCAGTTCAGACTTGTGTATAGTCACGGGTGATTGACGTACAGCGGGTTTGGGTCGGGCGTACGTCACAGTCATCATCTAAATGTCTATAATCCTTACTGTCAATGTATTGCCTGTTCATTCACTTCTTCTTGCTTCCTAAACTTAAATACAATTGTCATGAGAGCAATATGGGGATTTAGAAGTGCTAGTTGCTTGACTGTGTTTGTGCTACTCCAACCTGCTGCTTTTAAAGGCAATTGATTGATAACGATGAAGCCAAAGAGCATAGGAAATTCCTATTCTGCATTGAAAATAAAATATATTTTTTATGACAATATCACCAAAAGAAAGCCTTATTTGTGCTGGTAAATGTCTCCTTTAAGGAGATCCTCCTTTGCTGGAGGACGTTGCGTTTTTTCTTTAAAAGCCCTTCTTTCCTCGTTTTCCATTGTGTCCCCGCCATGCTCTTCCCTCGGGTGCACGGGTGCCACCATCGTTCTAATTAAAAGGTGCACCGAAATGGAAATTTTAAAAACGAAACTGAAATTTAAAAAATTGTCAGGCCGAAACCGAAAATGTTTTTTTTTTTTTAATTTTCTTTCTAGTTTTTAAAATATTTTATTTTTCTTTATTTTTTTATAAACTTTTAAAACATGTTTATATTTATTAATTCATTTTTTATTAAATATTTTTATTTTTTACATTGCTTTTAGGGGCTTTGAGGAAACATATTTCCCTTTTAAAATAGAAAAAGAGATTTAGGTCACAAAGTCCTCCATCTCTTTTTCTGTGTCCCCTGTTATCAATGAATAGGAATCCTCTATACTGAGTGTTCCTGTTCATTGATAACATAACATGAGGACATGGTATGTTTACTATAACCACAATCATGAATGAACAGGAGCCGATGTAGATCACTCCCATTCATTCATAAATGAGGCTATAGTTAACATACCTCGCTGTCCATAGACACACACAGCCCACAGCCTGCCACGCCCCTTCCCTCTTTGATTGATGGCAGAAGGAGTCTATGGCTCCTCTGCCACCAGTATCCTCCTTTGCAACCCGGAAGTTCGGGGTACGGAGGATGGCTTCGGGACCGGCCGCGGGGACGAGCGCAGCTGACAGGTAAGTGAGGGGGACTGGGGTAGAAAAAAGGTGTTTTTTTTTTTACCCTAATGCAGAGAATGCATTAAGGTAAAAAAAGTGCAGACCTTAATGCTACTTTAAGTAATGACAACATTTCGCAGAATAAACAAGCCCATACCAAAAACGTAAAAATTGCTCAGGTCCATAAGGCTCTACAGGCGCAAGCTGAAGAGGTTAAATTCTGATAGTCCTATGCGGTCTTAGCTCACTAGGGGATAGTATTAATGTGGTACACCTCACCACATTTGTTTTGACACAATTCACATTAAGTTGTTTTCTTCAGTTTACTTAATTTTTCCAGTGATTTTCTCTCTGTCTCTCATGGGCCGAACGGCCAAAATTCAAGACGTCTAGGCCCAGCCTTTTTGACTCTCTAGTGATTTTTGGAAGTCTAGCACATCTCTTAATGGCATCAGCTAGAAGCAAAGTTACTGCTAAACTAATGACAAACTTCATATACATAGCAAGGCTGTTTTATTAGCTCTGACTCCCCAGTGATAAGGCAGATGGGAAGATTTTATTGCAAGACGCTTAGGAAGTCTTTCGATTTGATAGCAGTCAGTGCACAAGGGTGCAAATAATAGAAAAACAATATTTCCTAATGCAAGTCCTTGTCAGGTTGAATCTATAAGGCCATGCAGAGAAATGCAGTAACCAACAGAAACCAGGTAAACATATGGTTAGGATTGGGATCAGTGGTTATTTTGAATAGTTAGGTTAGAGGGAATTAGGTCAAAAGGTTAAAGTGTCCCTCTACATCACTACTGGGCACTGTAGTTAAAGCAACCAGAAGGAAAGAATAAGTGCTGTGGGGAACACAAGACATCAACGCTCCTGGAAGTGTCAGTTTTCCAGCAGACTTCAGTATCTGATTCCTCATCAATGACGTGGCATCTCGCAGCAGCAGGATAGGTAAGTATTTACAGTCTTCTTTTTAGGTTACAGCTTTACGTTTAAATATATATGTATAAACAATATTAAGGGTGCACCAATACTGTTTTTTTGGTAACGAGTACCGATATTTTTTTCCGGTACTCGCCGATACCAAATACCGGAAGTCCCATTAAGGAAGCCGGGGGGCTGGTTAAGGACTCGCCCCCCTGGCTTCCGGATTAGCCGGGAAGCCGTCTCCATGCTCCCTCGTCACCTGGTAATGAGGAAGCATAGAGCCAGCTTTCTGGTCAATCAGGAAGCCAGGGGGTGAGTAATGACTCACCACCCGGCTTCCTAACTGGCCAGCTTACTGACCAATCAGGTAGCTGGGCAGCAAGTCATTATACGCCACCCAGCTTCCTAATTGGCCGGGCAGCTGGCTCCATGCTCCCTCTTCACCAGATGATGACGGAGCATGGAGCCTGTTTCCCGGTGCAATCAGGTAGCCGGGGGTGGCGTGTAATGACTCGCCATCCGGCTTCCTGATACCGGAAGTTCCAGTAGCGGGCTAGGCATCGGGAGCATTTGGGCGAGTACAAGTACTCGCCCAAATACTCAGTATCAGCACTAGCATGCATGGTGGAATCTACTGTTGCAGATAGTTTATTTTGACAGTCGACCTGCCAGCTGTCAAAATACGTAAACAGTGCCTGCATCTGATTAGATGCAGGTGCTGTTCGTTTTCCGTCCGGCTCCTTTGATTTTATCAAAAAAAGGATGTCCAGCAAGAGCTGGCAGACAGGGCCCCAGCTCCCCTGCAAACTCTCCCCCTCTCCTGAATTTCCTGCAGTCAGTCC